AGCCTATCTGCTCGTCTTTCTGCTGATTCGGCGTTGTACATCTGCATTGCTGATCAGCCGCTCAGTCTCTCGGATGGAGGCCCGTTCTTCGTCAGTCATATTAGTAATATTACGTCTTATTGCTTCTGTATTGCGAGTACGACGACCAAAATCGACTTCTTGGATGGCATGACTTCGTTTCATACTGAAACTGAACAAAAAATGAAAATTTTAATCTCCTATTTCTTATTTTAATATTTTTGGGATGTTTGACAGGAAATGCTTCGATTCAGCTGGCTGCCTGTAGAGGGCGCAGCAGTAGGGACACGGGGAAACGCGAAAAAAAAACTGAGTTGTTCGCAAACGCAGAAAAGCTATCAACATCAAAAGTAGAAAATAACCGAGCTGGAACCTCAACGCATGTTGTGTCAAAATTTGGGCTTAAACGGTTCAGAATTCAATTTCAATTCTATAAAGGAAGTAGACACGAACAGACCATTTTTATATATATAGATATATAGTAAAGTGTTTCTGTTTTGTGAGTCGAACTAATGTCCCGTCAGTTGACTAAGGACAACGCTAAGTTGAATTAATAAAACGAATATTCCGCTTCACGTCTTTATTCAAATGATCTCAGCTTAAGACTAATTTATTGTGACAAAAATCTTACTTCTACTGCCCTTTGCTTACAAAAGTTGGGGAGCGAGATCGCCCGCTCGGGATATTGATTGAAGAATTATTTATATTATTGAGAAGGAGCATTGCTTGCTCCGGATGTGGATTGTTTGTTGTTATAGCGTGGGATCGCCTACGCTGCAGATTCATATTTCTTGGAACATAACGGAATTTGTGAATATGTCACTTCCCTCCCCTTAAAAGGGTTGCCTATGTTTGGGCTGGCATTTCAGGGTACTGGTTTTGTGCCGGTTCTATTTCTTGTTGTGTTTCTTGATTATTTTATTGCTTGTTTTCTAAATTTTGTATATAAAAAGGTAAGTGGATTTTGTGTATACAATTTTGATAGGACAACAAAAATAATAAGAACGATAACTACTAATATTATAATTACGTAAAGTGTTTGGGGTTTAAATTCTGCAACTAGTCTCGATCTAAGGGTAGGCCAATCTTCAATGTTCGGAAGGCCCAATGATCGTGTTACGTGTCCGTCCAAGTTTCTTTCGATGGCTCCAAGAAGAATCCTCTGTTGTCGCACATCATTAGTTTGGTAGAGTGAAATTACATAGTCCACTCTGCTGACGAAAGTGTTGAGAGTTTCTGGATCACCCTTAAATGGCATGATGTCTTTTAGTTGCCGACGAGCTTCAGCAAGGTTGTTGTCGCTTAGTGCAAAGATTTGGGGTGCGGCGATAACTGGTTGTGCCATTGTTGTAGTAAATTTGTTCTTGTAGTAAAATAAAAATTTATTTTAGTTTATTTTTGATTTCACTTTTTAAAGTTGAAGTGTTTGTTTAAATTAATTTTCTTAAAATTTATTTGTTGTTATTAACTGTTAGGTGCCGTTGGACTTATTGTGTTTTTTTTTTGTTTTGTTCTTCCACTTTTTGTTGGACAACCGAATTGGAATTATAATCCAAGTTGAAGTGTTTTAAAATGTTTTGCGTAATTATTGTTCGAGAACTGAATTATAAAATTTAATTTACTTTTCACTCGAGGTTCTTTTTTTCGGATACTTTTTGTATCCTACCGACTACGCCAGTAAAGTGTTTCTTTCTTTTGAGTCGAACTAATGTCCCGTCAGTTGACTAAGGACAACGCTAAGTTGAATTAATAAAACGAATATTCCGCTTCACGTCTTTATTCAAATGATCTCAGCTTAAAAATAAATTATTGTGACAAAATCTTACTTCTACTGCCCTTTGTTTACAAAAGTTGGGGAGCGAGATCGCCCGCTTGGGATATTGATTGAAGAATTATTTATGTTATTGAGAAGGAGCATTGCTTGCTCCGGATGTGGATTGTTTACATTGGTTCAGCGTGGGATCGCCTACGCTGCAGATACATATTTCTTGGACCATAACAGAATTTGTGAATATGTCACTATATTATATTATATTTGCAGTTTTACATTCACAGATTTGAATTTTTGCCCACATCTAACAATCGTTTGTATTGCATCTATATGATATAGTCGTCCGATTCTCATATTTGACACAAAATTAAAAACTGATATAAAATGGCTATATCTCAATTTTGATGAAAATCTGCTGAAAACTGAAAACGTTATAATTTTTAATTGTATTAATTTCTCGATCGTTTCTATTGGAGCTCCATAAATGATATAGTAGTCCGATTTTCATAAAATTTTACACAAAATTGTAGAATAATATGAAATGGCTATATCTCAAATTTGATGAAAATATTTAGAAAACTGAAAGTGTTATAATTTTTAATTGAATTAATTTCTCGATCGTTCCTATAGGAGCTATTTGATATAAGTGGTCCGATTTTCGAAAAATTTTACAAAAAATTGTAGAATAATATGAAATGGCTATATCTCAAATTTGATTAAATTCTGTTGAAAACTGAAAATGTTATAATTTTTTTTTTTTCAATTTTCCGAACTTTCCTATGGCAGCTATATGATATAGTTGTCCGATCCGGCCCGTTCCGACATATATGTATATGAGTGAGAGTATATAGAAAACTAACTACAAAGTTTTATTCAGATGGCTTGAAAACTGAGAGACTAGTTTGCGTAGAAACGGACAGACGGACATGTCTAGATCGACTCGGCTGTTGATCCTGATCAAGAATATATACACTTTATATGATCGGAGGTGCCTCCTTCACTGCGTTGGAAACTTCTGACTGAAATTATAATACCCTGCAAGGGTTTAAAAATATAGGAGTTGAAAATGTTATAAGGATCAAAAATATAAGGGAGAGAGAAAATAAAAGAGAGTTTACATACATAAGAATTAAGAAATATATATTTTCTCGCTCTGCCGACTGCGTCAGAATAAGCGGTTTATTAATTTTAAAGATCTGGGAATATGATAAAAAAAGTTTTGCGGTATTTTTATTGAATTTTCAATAGTTTATAAAAGTGGTAAAAATACTGCGATTTATGTCATATATGAGCCGTTTTGTTGGATTATTCGTTCCCAACGAGATGCCAACTTCAAAATTCCCCTCTCATTGAAACTCGCTTCCCTGTGGCCAACTTTAGACTACCAAGTGCGTGCGCCATGGACAGATATAGGTATTAATCACTAGGTGCGAGATCCGGACTATAAGGTGGATGCAAAAGAAAACTCCCATCCGAACTCCCGGAACTTTTGGCGCGTCATCAAAGATGTGTGACAATTCGCCCTCTGTTGATCAAGGATGGCTTCTTCTGCATAAGTGCTGCCTTCAAGCGGTCCAGTTGTTGGCAGTACAGCTCCGAATTGAGCGTTTGGCCATAGGGGAGCAGCTAATAGTGGATGATTCCCTGCCAATCCCACAAAACACACAGAAGAGCCTTCCTGGCCGTCAATCCAGGCTTGGCCACCGTCTGGGCCGCTACACCGATTTTCAACCACGACCGTTAGCGCCTTACGTTGTCGTAAGTGATCCACTTTTCATCGCCAGTCACCATACACTTTAAAATGGGTCGATTTTGTTGCGATTCACAAGCGATTTAAATGGTTTATTGATGACTCATGCCCAGCTCTTGACCGATGCAACGGCTGCTACTATGTCGATCTCTTTCGACCAATTCAGCGATTTTATCGCAATTTTCCACGACAGGCCTTCCGGAGCGCATCTCCGACCACCTCCACACCAGAACGAAAACGTTGAAACCATCGTTGGAAACTGTGTCAGGTCCATAAACTGCACAAATTTGTATACGCGCTTGCAGCGACAACTACCTACCTACCTAACCTAATATATTAAACTAGGAAACCTGGCGAACTCCGTTTCGACACCACATGGCTTCGTTTTATGTAACATTACGTTTGGTGATTAAAAAATGATGAATTTTTTTTTATTTGAAAAGTAATGGATCCTGTTTGACTTTTCCACTTGCGAAGCATAATCCAGCCGTTTCTCTTTTGAATTTTAACACATTGCAATATCGTCGTCATTGGTCCAATATCTAAATTTTCATAATCACTGTAGTTCTCAATGGGATCATATTGGAATGCCAATCGATCGTATGATGCCAATGATCTTTGTGTCCTCACGCGTTGTCTCAATAGGGCATTTCCTGTTATTATATTTTGTCTTTCTTCGCTTAAGTTCTGTGAATACACTTGTTTATGATGATGTTCATTCGCAAGTCCGCCTTTTGGACTATAATAATAATAATAATAATTTCTGGTCGGTCAAAAATGCCTTTTGGGAAATATATTGTCAGAAAACAAAAATTCAATTAAAATAAATAGTTATTATAGTTAGATAACTTAAATAATTTGTCCCCCAGTGCAAGCGCTAGCCGCTAAGTATTGCTGTGACGTCATAAGTAAGTGAGCCGCCGATTCGGCGCACTGGCTGTGGCCGTCCGAAATCTATGAAAAAGACTCTGCATTCAGAAATTTGAACACGCATACAAACGTGCTAGCGCTTGTACACATATACACACATACACAGAAACGAGAGCGCAGCGCAAAGAAACGCACCCATGTTGTGCTCGGATTCGAACAAATGCTTCGAACTCGAAAAAGGCGAACGCACTCTGGGGTTCTAGACCCCAGACCGCGTGTTAGCATTATCTTTGACATCGGCATAAAGTGTTGCGTAGAAAAAAAAAGAGAAAGCCACGCTGGCTTTTCAATAATTGACTAGATATTTCCACCTCGGAGTCGTTGAATGACTTAATATAAAGCATACTCATATTATCAGTTAAGTTTTATGATAATCATTTTTTTTTTGGTTCCCTGAACACAGTTACCTTACGAGGCAAAAGATTTCTGTTTCTAGGTGATACAAACTTTAAAAACCTTTGTGTCCAATAAGTCTAAAAATGTGTAACTACTGTACTACTGTACAAAAAAAATATTTTGCTTTAATTACAGCAAAGTTTTACTTCGAACTGGCCGAGATTACTTTGGTTAGCAATCGACCAAAAAGGCATTCATTTACTGGAGCATCGTTCAAGGAATATTTTATGTACTCACGACTACGACTCAATAATATCATTTTCGCCCAATTTAAATTCCTTAATGATATTTACGGGAACGGAAAAGAAACAATCGAAAGTGATATTAAGTACTTCTCAGGTAAGAACAATTAATTTTTTGTATTTGGAAATGTAGCATATTTATTAATTTAAGCTAGCTGACCCGGTTGCTTTTTGCCATATAAATGATTTCAACGAAATTTCAAGTGAAAAAAAATCCATCTTGGTTCCAGCAACATAGTCAAGAGCAGATGCATTGAATCTACGAATGTGCTCTTCAGGTGGTGTTTTATCAGGATTAATGATTACGTATTAATGCTTTGTAATACGTGCATGTATGATTTGAGTTCTTTCAATAATTTTTGTGCTCATTTAATAGGGCATCAAGACAAGGTTGTTAAACCAACAACATGCATCAACGCGATTGGCAAGTGCTCTTCTGGAATCTTCGCCGCCCATAGAGTAGATCTGTAAGAATTTATGTGGTTCGTTTGGCAAGAATTGAATTGTTGATAATTTTGTTTTGAACTACATCTGATGCTTCGATGGAAGTTATTTGAAAACATGAATTTAATATACGAATTGACTTCGGGAACTCGTTAGAATCTAGATCCGTATCGTTAAGTTAAATGTTAAATGGGTTAGGTGGTAATTCAATTTCATGTAGTTGCACCTTTCTTGACGCGCAACATACCCCAGTTGGCTCATTTTTGAATTTGAGAAAATTACAATACACGGGCATTCCTTGTCTATAGCACCAATTACCACATTTGAATGAGCATAATAATATTATATAGTTGGATCATACTGCAATGCTAGGCGCGGTAATGAGTCAGATTTTGATTCTAATATTTAGTTTAAATCTTTTTACGTCTTTGCGTTCAGCTCCTTTATGGTCTTACTCAATTGTGAATTGGGAATACTCTGATCAGTATTTTCATGATTGATTTCTTCTGCGGTGTTTCTTTTCTATCACTGTACAACTTTATGCGCCTTATGGGCATTGTTTACTGAACAAAACACACATTAAAATAGTTAATAATGTAATAATGTGTTTAATCTTTGAATGCCCACACTTAGCGAAGTTAATAAATGATGTGAACGAATTGTATATATATAGATATGGATTTAAAGCTGTAAAACCGTAGAAATTTAAACCTTTAATTAGATTTATTAAGACACTCACCCATTTTTCATTATTTTAATAATTAAATATTTGTTGTGTAACGGGGTTGGGGGTAGCTCGTTTTAGCTCGCCAACGTCTAGGTTCGTTTATATAGTTCTGAGCCCCTCGCTCTCGTTCTAAAAATGTCCAGTGACAACACTTTATATGTAGGCTTAATTTATCCCTACGATACCTTTGGGGAGAGAATTTCCGTGTCGGCGTGCGTGGGTCCCCTTATTGTTACCCTAAACGCTTCGTCGACGGGTGGGTGGCTGACGGCGGACCACGCCGCGGTTCAAGGCGTGAATGCGTGTCCGGGTGGTGATATGGTGATTTTGTTAAAACTGAATTTTATTTTTAAAATCGTGATTCCACAGATATTTGAAGTGTTACGTGCGAGCTCCGGGAAATATTAAAGATAATACTATGTAGTTCAGTAACATACTTAAAAATTAAATAATAAATTTATAACCACCGTTTTGATTAATATAAGTGCATAAATAATTTAAAATAAAACAGCAACATAGAGCAACCTGGCTCTACTGACCGTCAATAGCAAGGGATCGCGTTCTTGCTCACCCAGTCTACTCAATCCAACTCCGATATCATGGAGCTTTCAAAGCCAAACCCTACTATCATTTCTAATGCTAAAATTTTTGCAATCACAGCAAATAAATTACAACGACCAAAAGTTGTCCCTTATCAACCTTTTTTAATTTTTTCAAGGGCATTTCCCATTTTAATAATACCATTACAAGGTATTATAATTTCAATCAGAACTGAATGAGTCATTTCCGACCATAGAAAGTATATGGGCAAGGTAAAAATAAATATATAACAAGTCTTTATTTTAAATTTACAAAATTTGAAACGTCAAGCTCTTGGTTAGCAATCAATCAAGATCAATTTTGGGCACTTGTTCGTTTTCAAGATATTCACTAAAATGTACTGCATTCGCACGCGATAAAAACAGAAGTCACATTTGCACGAAACTAGTTTAAGCTCTGATTACAGCGAAGCATCATGATAAACTGTAATGTAATAAATTTGAATCACTTATGCAATCAATTATCTTAATAATGTATTTTGTTTGATTTTAACATAAGTAGTAGTAGTTAAGTAGTTTTTTTTTAGTTTAATTTTAGTCCCGGTCGCACGCGATATTTTTTAAAGCGATAATTTAAAGTAAAACTGTACGAATATTGGTAAAAGAATATGTCCTTTTGCATTTTATATGGACTTTTTGGATTCCCCGTGTGATATTAGAAAGCAAAAGTCAAAGCAAAATGCTTTTGTTTAAGAGATTGGCATCGAAACAAAACATGCATTTTTTATGCTGTTTTTTTTATAAAAACTTGTGTTTGACATCGATTATTTCGAAATTTATTTTAGAAGATGAAAAATTCTCCTAGTCTTGGTCAATCTGACCTATTTTTTATGTAACCTCGTTAAAAATACTCGTTTTTAAGCAATTTTAAGTTTTTGGCCACTGTGGACATTTCTTGCCCTTATACATACATTCCTGATCAAAATCAACAGCCAAGTCGATATAGCCATGTCCGTCCGTTTCTACGCTAACTAGTCTTTCAGTCTTTTAAAACTTTTTCAGTTTTCAACCGATTTTCATTAAATTTAAGATATAACTATTTTATATTATTATATAGTTTTGTGTAAAATTTTATGAAAATCGGATTCTCTTGAGCTACCCAACATCAGCAGCGAGGATCATACATACATATACATATATATAAGATATACATAAGACAGCCGCTACGCTGCCGACGTTCTTGGTAGCGCAGTTGCGCGGTTGTAGATATAAAATATCTTTGTTAAAATTCAGAAATGAATTAACCATGGATGCAGCACCACTGCTGCCATCATTATTAATAAAACTCATAACTTACTCAGCCATTGTCTTCAAATTATAAATATGGAAAATTAAATAAATGAATTAAGCTACATGGCGATAGTGACAAAGTGACTAAGTGACATTAAATAAACTAAAACTAAATGGCCGCAAAATAAATTAAAATAAACATGATCCACAACACGAAAAATACCAACAGAAAGATTTAATGTAAACCAGGGTACTCTTCGTACTTGAGAAAAACAATGTTCTGTTCACAACACAAAAAAACATGAAATAAACAAACTATTGCACGAAATGGGAAATAAAGCGTTTTATAAACTATAAAAAAAAAACTTTAAACAAAACGCCGAAAATAATTAAAAATCAAAAAAGAGGAAACAATGAAAAACCTGTGCGAAGACCGGCACCGGTATCCTGAGCCTATAGGTCCCGGACAGCAGCAGCAGAAAATCAACAAGTGTGGAAGGCATGGCAAATCCTTCTACACCAGCAAGGAAAACATAAAGCAAACCGCCGACTACACCAACGCGGGACATACATATATGATATCCGTCCTCTGCACCGACGTGGGAGATGCACCGAGCCTCAGAGAAGCTCTAGAGGTGTGTCCAAACGATGGGCCCCGCCCCCTCATAATAGCTGAGTACAGGGCTCGCCAGGAAAAAAAGAAGCCAGCAACGAAAAAAAAGGAGCGGACAAAGGATCAAGCTCCTTCAACACAGGAGACTCATTAAGGACTACATCAGGATAGCGACAACAACGAAAGAGAAGGAGGCACACCAAGCGCCGCTTGAAAAACACTAACCACAGTTTGGTTTTATACTAAAACCATATAACTGATTTTGATTTCTATAGAGTAAGTTATTGTAAATTAGTTATATGTAAACTAACCAATTTTTTTTTTTTTCATTTTTCTTAATTTATATGAGCCAATATAAATGGCAAATAAATACTAAATTCAAATATAACCCTAATATTGGAAATATAACAAATTTGGAAATACCCAAAATGGGTTTAGTAGATACCAAAGTTGTAGATTCAACGGCAAACGTTGTTAATAAAACAGAACCAGAAAACGTTGATACAGACATGATAATAATATTGTTGTCGATAATCGTAATTATTATGTTGGTAAATGCATTTATAAAAATATATAAATTGCACAATAAATGTCTTAAAAAGAGATATCAATGTCATGTCAATGACCTAGACAAAATTAATAAATATATATATTGACGCTGATCTAAATCCCGGGAGTTGCGTCCAACACTTAGGGCTCCACCGAAACAAGAAAATACCATATCTTGTAGCGTATCCAACACTTGAACTTGAAGCGTGGTAATGAGCTTGCTCGAGAGTGTTTTATTCTGTTGAGGAATACAAACTTAGATTTAACCTCAACCCATTCCTTATACATACCGCAGTATCTCCTCCCTTCTCTACTGAGATCGCCGATCGGAATAACCGTGGCGCCGAACTTAACATAGCTCTCGTCCATAAACAGTGTGGCCAGTTACAAACATAGTTCGAATACCAAACACATACTTAACGAAAGTTCGCCTTAGCGCGTAATTCAAACCATGGTAGAATTATACAAGGTAGTCTCGTCGGCAAAAGCACTCTCCTATTCATTACTCACAACAAGTGCGAGTGAGAGGAGTCTGCGTAGTAAGTGCGAGTGAAACGACAAAAGAGCTTTTAGTTTAGCCCTTAGATGGTCCATTGGGGTTAAATTGTTCATACATAGTAAAAAGAGTTGAAGTGTTTTATAACTTAATTTTTAATAGTTTGGAATTTGACATTAATCTTTGTTTTTGTTTTTGTAAAGCTATTTTTTTGTTTAAATTCTTAATTTTAAAATATATCCGAATCTTAAAGTAAAATTTTTTTTTATCTAAATTAATGTTTATGTTCTTAGCAGAACGACATCGCACACAAGGGTTAACAGTAACAAAAAATCGTCCGCACACAACCTTTCTGTTTGATAAACACGAACGCACTGAAAATAAGCCGAACAGTTAGGCAGCCGACGAGACTACCTTGTATAATTGTATCATGATTCAA